AGAAAAAATAATGATCATTTAAATTTAATGGATTCATTTGAGAAAGCATATAAAAATTTAATTCATGAGGGATATAGAGTAGCCTATAAGTCATTAGAATACTCATAATAAATATATAGTAAATGTAGACATTGAAAAAATCTTTGTTTTTCTTAAGGAATAAAAAATATATAATAAAATTTACATATTTGAAATAAGAAATGCATAGAAATTAACATATGTTTAAATAATAATAAGATTATTAAAGGATGTATATTTTTTTTGTAATATATAGTAATATATCAAGCATAAATTTTGAAATCTGATCATTTAAACAACAATAATTATTGTAATAAAAAAATAAAAATAAATTAATATTCTCTATAGATTCATTGAAAATCATTAGATATTAACACGTTATGGCTAAAACTAAAAGTATGTAGATTTACGACGGTAAGCATATTCATAAAAGACAGCATCAATAATGTAATAAAGGTTTATTATGTCTAAATAGGAACTAACATTCATTATATGTTTATTTTGAAATAAAACAAATATATTATGTAAATTATAACATAAGTATGCAATATATAATGTAGTAATTAAAATGGAAAAAAAATAATTATTCAGAAGTATAATAATTTAATAATTATATTTTGAAAAAATTACCTACACAATGAATTCAATATATATTACCCAAACATAAAATATACTGAATAAATCCTAATATTACATAAATGTATCTATTAAAATAGTATGAAAAATAAGGGGAAAATACTATTCTTTATTTAAATAAGTGTTTATGAAAGAAATATATAGAAACATTTAGGAGAAATGAATCAAAAATATACACCATATATTTAGAACAAACTAAATATATCATATTTATCACAAACAGTTATGAATGCATTATTCAGGCTTAGTGTATATGGTTTGGGGTTATATTTAGAGTTTATATATTGTGGTTTTATGTTTTTTTGTTTAGTTTTCGAATTTAGTCTTACGTTCAAAGTTTTACCTTGATGCTTTAGTATTCAGAGTTGAGTTTTAAGGTTCAAGCTGTATCAGGTTTTGTTATGAATATTTATATATTTAGAAATATTTTTATTGTAATGCGTATGCTGTTATTTTTATATGTGATAATTTTAAAATTTAAAAAATATTCAACATTATTATATACTTAAGGAGAATAAATGCTTGAGAATTGGAAACACAGTGATATTAGTATATGTTATAACATTGTATATGAATTTTGTAATATGAGCGAAAAATAGATTGATCCTATATGATTAATATCACTGAATTTAATACTTGTGAGATATTATATGTAATTTAAATTAACGAAGTAAAGATGTAGAAATATCACATGATTTTTTTATTATTAACGT